TTGAACATGAATAACCACTTCGTCGGGAATATTGAAAAACAGTGTTGAAAGTTTTAAAATTGGTTAAAAATTACGTTGGCCACGTTGAAATGTAGCTGTACACTTCGGCCATGGTTTTTAGGTACGGTATAAAGTGGGCACTGGACCGAGTCATAGCCGAATCGTTCGACGATAGGAAGGGGGAAAAAAATAAATCGATTTCCATTTAGATGCGCGACAGGAAACCCTTTGTTACCTGGATTAACGCTCCAAGTCGCTCAGGCTATTGGGGTTTTAACGAAAATAAAACAATTTTTTTAAAGCTTCAACGGGTTATACGTGTGCTCAGGCGAAACTTTACTGTGAAACTGGTGGTTGTCTCCGTTCTCTTGATACCTTTTCTCTCAATGAGCCTTTGTTGGAAAAAATACTTTTTTTTCCTCACTACTAAACTATTTTTATCACATTTTTCACATGAAGTGCAATTTATATTTCGACCTGATCTATTTTCCCCGAGACGAAATTATTGGTCCACTTTTATCAAGAATTTTATACGTCTTCAGAATTTTTATCATGTCATTCCACTAAATTATCCAACAATCAGCAACTATTTATTTCAATGAATTTATTCTATTGCAATCAATTGATTTTTGAGTGTAAAAAATAGTGAAGGCATTATACACACATCAGAAGTTGAGAAAAATTGGAAAGGACTTTTCCCCTTTCAACGACGATAAGGGAAATGCAAAAGGTAAGCAGAATGATACAGAAAAAAAAATAATAGATGAGATAATTGTCCGCTCCCGGATGAATTCCTCCTCTGATTTAAGGAGTCCCTCTGGAGCCGATTAACGCGTCTGGCCCTTTCCCCCAATCTTCTATCTTTCATGCCTCTCATTCAACAGGAATCACCCGAGAAGGTGAAAAAAAAGTCTCACGATATAAAAGGAAAGAAATTCAAACTTATATATACGGAATTTATTCCGAGAGTCAGCGAGAAACTTTTTATCTCCGAGAATTTCCGACGGAGCTTATATAAGCTGAGACGGAAAAAGAGAAATTAAATTCTTCAGCTGTATATATATATATATATATATATATATATATCTATTGGACACCAGTGCCGCGAGTCTTAGATCGTTCGTTTACCTCATCGTTGACCCTCTCTACTTTATACTCTACTGCGCGCCCGGAAAATCCTGAATTTATGCTCTCAGGAAGTGGCTATTAGGAAACCTGACATCTGCTACAAATAAATTTCCTAAATATTGATGTACCGGGGATTTTCCAATGAATATTCAATCCTCTCGAGCCTCCATTGCGCCATTTGAAGCTGTCAAAGTGAATTACCACATGACCATGGAAATTTACGGAACTTTTCACGTGGTGGATTGGAAAAATTTTATCTAGATTGTTAGAAATTTGTTTAGTCTTTAGTAACGATTGCACCTGAATTTACTGAATTTACTCACTGGAATTCCACAAAATAGCTGACAGTTGTATTTTTTTTCTGGGTGGTAACGAATAAAATACGGAATACTTCAATTGAATCATTGAGTACCCAACAAAACCGATTGGCCCATGAATAATAAGACCAATTAAATCATCAGTGGTATATACCGTTTTTTTCCTGTAGATTCTCCAATTTCCCGTTTATAATTTCGATCCAGATAGAATGGAGAAAGAAAAGCTCAATTTGGGGAAAATTTTTTGGTCATGCAAAGATCCCAGGCGGACTCTAGTTTACATTCTGTACTGGAGTCCAGGATGAGATGGAAAACAGAATTTGGCGGACGTTGCATATTGAGTTATGTTTTGCGAAAACTCAGTTCGCATTCTCATTTGGCCGATTGCACTCCCATAACCGTGGGCAAATTCACAAGTTTCCCCCTCGACAATCGCGTGTACCCAAATTACAAATGCATACAATATGCGGATATATACCCATTACCCGTGTGCTCAGTGATTTATGCGGATAAGTTGAGTAGTTGAGCTATTCCAAAATTATTATAAACGAGTGCTTTGGAAACTTGTTTAAATCAGCGACATTATCATTATGAAAGTGGAGAGAATTATTATTGTTTCCGGGTATCTAGAGTAAATTTGTTTATCTTGTTCCAGAATTATTGCCAGAGAGACAATTCTGGAAAATTTTATTTTTTCAACCAGCAAATATTAGAGCCATTTTATCCTTATCCTTTTTTTTATTTTTAGCCTTTTATCAAAATATATCATTCAGACCAGTAATTAATTGAAAAATACTCCATTACTCACGAGTGACAAATAAATAATAGCGAATAATGTTGAATAGCTATTAATGTTGATTATCAAAAATATCGATAATAATAGTAACGAAAATTCGTAGCGGGCGTGGTGGGGGTAGCTGCATATAGTCGGATTCTGAAAATTCATTTCCCCTACAGCCCCATGCAGATAAACAGAAGAAGGCACATCTAAAAGGTGTTAAAACCCACCCAAAAGACTAGACCAGAGAAAAATGAACATTGGTCTATTTTTTCTACGGTCTTGTATTCATAATTTTAAATACATTTTTCCGAGTGTGAGGCACTTTCTGAATGAATCGACAGTCAAATCTCTGTAATGTAGTGAATCACTCAGGCACACGCATTCTCCACGGCATTATCCCAAATTGAAAATCCCATATGTCAAAGGCAGGAAATGAGGATTGAGAGATGAAGCAGAAAGGATCGAGACGTCTCGACTGATACCCCCTGTGTCGCCTCGTGATGAGAATTAATTTTCCACCGCAACAGCAGCTTGATTAATGCCCAAACCCTCACGTGACGATCATCAATGTACCATAGAAAGGGATCTGCAAGAGTTTCCCTGAAACACCTTCAATAGTTCAATAATGCTTCTCAATGAATTTAGCAAGTCAGATTTTTTTTATGCTGACAGAATTATTTACACCGAAGCTATATTCACACAGCAGTTTCCAGTCGATGAAAAGAACTTGATAAATATTTTTTAACGCCTCGATTTTACGTCCCGAAATATCGTTGAAAAAAAAATGTGCGAGAGCTTTATGCGACATCATAGAATGACATAAAACTCGTAATAATCCCTCCTGGTGAGGATACGACCGTAAATTCTAGGGGCACTTTCAAGCTTCTAATCATAATACACTGTATCATAGAAAAAAGCTAAGCTTTCAAAATAGTGAGGTCACAGGAGGCTGAAATATAATTTGACGGTTTATTAAAGTGCTTTTAACAGTCGCTGCACGTACCTAATTGAATAGATTGGACAATAAATTTAATTATCGAAGTTGTCAGAGTCCGGTGGTTATCAGGGCTGAGGGGTTGAGGATCTTTATGAGGTGGAATAATTGAGGGGAAGGGTTGTGTTTATTTAGGTCGGAGATACTACCGGACAGCCACGATCAAGGCCATTACCAACTTCGGACAACAAGAGTCATGCTTCACTCGATTAACGAGATTAACACATAATTTCACTGGTTAATTGCCGTATTCCATTGCCCGGAGGGGTAAGTATTGGTTGGATGGACAGTCAATGCTTGTTTATTCATTGGATAATCGTTCAATACTTGTTTTACAGCTGATTAGTGCAGAGATAATATCGTAAGCAAGCGGTTATGTCGGAACCCGAGTGGTGGCGGCGGCGGCCGAGTGCCCGCGAGATTGCCCGATCGTTCACGAGTGTTAAAGCACGTGGAAATAAAATGCTCTAGGAATATTTCCGGTCCAGAAGTCATTTCTCCATAGAAATATTTCCAACAACTTTTTTTATGCAATAAATCAATGAAAATTTATTTTACCATTCCTATGGAAATGATCATCGATTCGATTTTCTTTGGGTGTTGATTTCTCAGTAGGAAACTTATCGATAATATTTGAGAAAATACCCAGCGCTGAGAAGGGAAGATTAGTTTATTGATATGTGAAATTTCTCTGCCAATTTCCCATGTCCACAATTTTCTATCTCGATATTTCACTTTTCCATCGGTTATTTTCTCTTCGAACGGAGTTATTACATTTCTCACAGTGAAAAAAGGGACGTGAGAATCAAGTGTTATCCCTAGATATTTGAGAATACGATGTCGAGAGGGGGATGATGAACTTCATCCGGTCTGGGAGGTTCCGGTCATGATGGCGCCTCATCCAATGTACCGGAGGTTCTCACCCATCATATCTCATCCCCACCTCCGATAATTCATCCGACTTTTCGCGCTTCATATTTTTAGAACGGATTGTAAAATGGCCGACAGTTTATTCTCCTCATTTTTTACGAGATGATAATGTTCGAGTGGAAAATATTGAATCCTTCGCTGATAATACGCCACCCAATATTTCAAAAAATCATTCCCCTCACCATAAATTTCCAATTGAAATTGTTCATTTTTACCCTATGCAAAATGAATAAGTAATGTCTTGATAATTGCATTATTCCATTACATGAGTGCGATATAATAATTTGATATACAAACTCAAATCAATTGGAGCTCATGAACGATTCAATGGAGCGATTCAAAGTGATTACCATTTTTCAGCGGGCGAAGTTCCCTCTTCAATAATAATTTGCAACAATAATTTTTGGTGAGACCCTCGATTATCCAATGAGGACCCTTACGGGGCATTATCCCCGTTTACTTTGATACCCTCTCCACGAAGTATAAGCCGAAAGGGAAATTAAGAGGCCGGTGGAGTCGTGACTGGGATTTTAAAAGAGAACAGCATGTCCCACGGTTTTCTGTCGAGGGGCGCATTCTGTCTAATCTTCAAACGGGTCAGCGCAGTTTGGTAATTACCAACACCGCGATAATTGCGAAATGAGCTCAAGGATGAAAGAGTTCGGTAAAGTTTCGCGCGAAAGATTTCCCGATGTTAATTCGTCATTAAATTTCGACATCTCCATTTTTTTTATTCAAATAGATAATTACTTCTAAAATATTTACTCCCTTTTTATTTATTAATATTTATATAGCAGCAGTTAAGACTATCGAATTTCTTTCTCGGATTATTATCAGGTTTGACGTCAAATGAGTAAAGAAAATGAAATATTTAATTATTTTTTCATCGTGTCCATAAGTTTATGCAATGGAATTCTGACTTCACCCATTGTGGGAGAAAAGATGGGAGTATCTGAACTTGCGTGAACTCTGAGAAAATGTGAAAAGCATTTCGAATGACAACTGGGGCAGGGTATACCGGTGGTTTCATACAGAGGACAACAATGCTAGGTATCAGCCGCACCAACGACATAAAGCTCTCGACATAAAATACAGATGTCTAAGGTAGATATGATTTCTTCTTCGCAACTCGTCTCTGAATGCTTTAAACTTGAATGAAACTTTTTTTTTTCCTCCAGCGAAATATCCAGTCGATCCGAGTGTTACGTTTCCAGGATTGATGGGTCAACAAAATTCGCGCGCAATTCACTAAATCGAGTAAAATGGTAAAACAGAATATATCGTGATGGCGCGTCGCTGGAGGATGTGTCTGAATAATGAATTTCGATTTTGGTGGAGGAAAAAGGATTTTTTTTAGGGAGAATACAAACGCATCGTTCTCGTAGAGATTGCCCTGCATCCTTTACGATCACCTCATGAATATCTAAACTCAGTTTCCTGCACCAGCTGCCGAGCATCTGACTGTTGCCGATCTACTCGAGTAAACGGTAACGGATCTACTTTGTTAAACAGTTTCAGACATATTTTGAATAACCGACTGCACTGGGATTTTCAATTAAGTTCAGACTCGTGACACTATCGGAAATATACTCCATTCCTCTCACTTTTCTCTGAAATCACGGAAATTTAACGCGAAACGGGATTCTGTGGAAATTCAATTAAGATAGAAATTAGAAATTGAAGAAATATCTTCAGGGTTTCAAATAACCTATTATATTTTATTTTTTTTGTTACTCCAGGCGAAATTGGGATAGATTCTTCGAAATTCAATACTTCGGGATTTTTTTTATTGTCTGAAAAATCTTTTGAAACTCGTGTAATTGAATGTCGCATGTAGTAAAATGAATTTTTTCAATTCGCAGAATTACTTCTACGTCTCTATACATTCAGAAAGTACTTGGTTCAATTGTTTATTAAAAATTGCTGGCGTCACGTTGTTTTGCATTCCAGGGAACGAGAATTGATTGAGTTTTTCATTTTTAATCCACTCCAAGTTTTGGGATATAAATAATTTTTATTTCTCCTCATGTCGCAAACTTTCCCCTTCTATTGGAAGAGTAATTATTCTTCTATTCTCGTTGCAGACCGAAATAGAAATTAAATAGTCTTATCGTCAAATCATCAATGATATTTTCGAGATTATCACTAAACCACCGATAATACAATCTTACAACTGCGTATAAACGCCAGATGGTTGTGAGCTCTTGAACTTGAGCGCTTTCGTCATCACGCGAGTCTTCATCCTCCGGTGGTTCATCATCATCAGCATCCATCCCATTGGCACCATTCTCGATCAGAGATGAATTTTCCTCTCGTTCCTCATCTGCAGATCGGTCTGATTTTTCCCCATCATCTTTTATATCCGGTAGCGCAGATTCTCCAGGAACATCCCCATTCGCAACTTCATGAAGATCATCTTCCTTTGAAGTTTCACCAGATACTATTCCTTTCTTCAAGCGATTTCGAACAGCATCTAATAAATAATAAAAATTATAATTATAAATTATCGTTCAGAAATTCATTTTTAACAAATATACATTTTATTTGAAAAAGTCATTCATATTTTAAAGATCGTATTTCCATTTAGTATGAATTAAATAATCACATGATGGATGCAAGGGAAGGTATATTACGTAACAAGTGCGTAATGGATTTTTTGGCTTGCGGGGGGATTGTAACGCAGGCCGTAGTTTTACAATCCCACGAGTCAAAAAATCCATAACACCCGTTTCGTACACTATTTTATGTCATTGGGATTAAGATCGGGATTCGCGTGATTACGCGATATTCGCGTAACTATGACATACTTTTATTTTTCGGCTTTATTTTCCCCACAATTCGATTCCTCACCGGACGAAACAATGGATTATTTAAATAATTTCAAATGAAGCCCGAAGGTAATAGAGTCAGAAAACCAAAAGAAATTGAGGAGAAGTGCAAATATAATGAGAGCGACTATAACGGGATTCTACTGTCAATAAATATATTCTAGAATTATCTGTTTGAGTAATTATGTAAAATAATATATATCGTTCAATTGGATAGCCTTAAAAATTGTTCAAACATTGCGATGCGATTGTCAATCAATTAACTGAATAAATTTTTTAATTTCTCGCATCATTCGATAATCTTTGGTATTTAATCAACTGTGAAGAGAAATGGCGTCAGAAAGGAAGACCCTGGCACATAAACCGGTTAAGCCAGTTGTTTTCTTGAAACGTTTAACGATTTTCCTCAATCACAAATCGTTAATTAGATTTGGTAGTTCAGAGTCTGGAGACTTTGGCAAGAAATCGAGGGATACCAGCGAAATTCGAATGACGTGGCGAAATTGAATATCTTTTTTTTTTGTATTGTCTTGCACAAGGGAAAATTACCTTTACTTTGAATCATTCTCTCGTTTTCACTGCCTCAGTATCTGCGAATGAAAATGATTTTACTGAATTTTTAAGAAGAAATATTATAATAGAATACATTTTTATCGTTTGAAATTAAATTATTCGTTTTATCTTTTGGATATCGGTTGACGTTACGGAGTTAAGGAATTAGATAACGACTGTTTCAATTGAATTTGATTGATTTATTGAAGCCATAAATTTCGAATATAATTCCCAATTTCAGAATATTGTGATAACATGTTGGGGGGGTGTAAATAATGAATTTCGATTTTGCCCGAGAGGAGATTTTTTCTGGGAGAATACGAACGCGTCGTTGCCGCAGAAATTGCCCTGCATCTTTTACGGTCATCTCATGAATATTTAAACCGAGTTTTGCTGAGAAAATCTGTGGAATTTTCATATCATTTTTACTTGAAACTATTTCAATTTACTTAAATTTCCTCCGAAGTTCACGCAATAGCATCTCCATCTCCATTTTTTTAATCCAAATTCCTCCCCTCTTCTAGGATAACTTCCAAAATATCGATGGAAGTTAATTGTTTTAGATATCAAAGAAGAATTTCGTTCTCGAAAAAAATTATTGACTGAGAACACAAAGAGAAATATTCAATAAAAAAACATTAAGTATTCAGTGGAATTAATTTATCTCCTATTTCTGGTAATTGTCACTGGATTGAATTTTTTTCGCTGAGTGTATTTGAATAATTAGACGCGGCTCATCGCTTCGATATCCCACGATTTCACCTCCAGAATATTAATTGTTATTTCAACAATTTTTACGGAGCAGATGATAGAATTCACAATTCAATTTGAGAAGTAATTTTTACCTTTACCATTATATTCATAATTTACCTCCGAATTTCGTTGGAAAACTAACAATACCGCCACTTGGCTTATCCGTAACTTTTCCTGAGTATTTTCTTTCGTATCGAGAAAGAATAATTTAATTTCCACATTGCGCTATTTATGGATTTTGCCTCCGCCTCTAGTACGTCAACACAATACATATCCCCATGAGAAAACTCCGATCAGGATAGATTGAAAAATGGAAAAAAAAGGGGGAGGGATAGTCGTACCGAAAAAGGTATGAAAATACAATGCTACAGTGGTACACCGTTCAAATCGAATACGTATTTTTACATTATCGTCGCGTGAACGAAAACAACGGGCCATCGGTGGTCGCATTGGTACGTATGCAGTAACGAAAAATGCAAAAAAAAAAACTCGAGTGGAGTAAAATGAAAACTGGCATGTACAACTGCAGCATCGATTCCATCCCTTTTTCCACGTCTTCCATGAATTTTCACCACAAAAAAATACATATCGCTAGGGGATACCGAGCAGGGAACAAATGTGCCGGTTTAATCGTCAATCCAACGTCAACCGTCAGTCGCGTTTCAAGAACGAATTTTTTATTGCTTCGTAAGCACACACAGATACAAGTACCAATTATCTTCACCTTTGTCTTCTGTTTTTCCAACATTGGATGGTATTCCCAAAATTACAGAACGCTCAAAATTGCGCGAAAAGTTTTTACTCCATTTTTTGGGAAACAATTCCGGAGTTGTAACAAAATTTTATCGCTTCCTCCACTGGACAAGTATGTGGGACTTTTTAATTGCAGGTTGTCCGTTGATAAGAACTGACTAATAAATCACGAGGATCTGCCGCTATTTGCATTTTTTTTTCAAATTCTAAAATTTCAGAATTTGTTGTTTTAATTGCGATAAATCCCATAGATAAACACATGCAATTTATTTGAATTCTCCAGAAAAATTAATATTCAAAAGTGCATTCACGGAAATTTGATGTCATCAATCAATTCTCAGGCAACAAATTGAATTGATATTTTCGATCGCCATTGACTCTTTCAAGTGTGGAACACCTCGATTTATAATTTTACAATGTTTTCGGAAATTAAAAAAATTCACTAGCATTTTTTCACGTGCGTTATTCCGTTATTATGTTAGATATATTTTTTAAATATTGTTTTACCGTCAACTCTCTATCCAGTCTTCAACCGCACACGACTGGTACAACCGTGCGACTTGATAACACAAAGCTATTTACTGATTTGCGGTCTTGTCTAACCAGTATATGCATTATCCGAGTATTTAAAAACAATCGAGGAAACTAGAATCGAGGACAGTTAAAGTCTTCATGTCCATTTGACGCATTCACTATCAAATAATATAAATAATCACGCGGTATAAATACGTGCAGGCAGACCGAATGTAAACGACAATATGACGCGTAATAATGACAATAAAAATAACGGTACGACTTACACAATTCAAAACTAGGATTCGGTTTCGGTTTCCGACAGTTGTAGAGAGTTGCAAGATAATAAATCTAGCAAGATAATAATTCAGCCATTTCTCAGTTTAATAACTATAAAACAACAGAATTGTTACGTAATTTTTACCTGCTTTTTCCGGTAATTTCCATTGCATGTTATCCGTGTATCCCATAAATCGCTGCACACCTCTCACAAAATTCCGCTCCCCAATTTTTCACGTGATTTTTCTCCAGGATTTCCGAATTATCACGTAATGTTTTCGAATTTTTCTCCCGTGCAGGAAAAAATGGAAATCAATTTCCAAGTGGATGAGGATCAGCCGTTGACTCATTTGGGATGGAATACCTCGTATAGTCCTTTGATGAGGGAGTGCTCTCATTCATTCCACAGGACGAGGATTGATTTAATTACCGTGGGAAATGGGGGGGACAGCAGCAGTACTTACACCTACTTTGGCCTCTTTGGGAGGACGATGCGCATTTGGAGGCGAAGAAAATACTCAAGGGAAGAAAATCGTCTAGACCTTTTCTTTACAAAACTTCTCCTTTCTGTTTTTTATCTTTCTGTTGGGGTGGGATTCTGTCTGCGGCGTAATTCGGCATCTGAAAAGCACTAACAAACGGTGATAGCAAAAATCCACAGTACCTCCGCAACGACCTCCAATTTTCTATTTCCTCCCACTTTGTTTTACGTAAACTCAAATTTTTAAATAAATGTTAAGCATTATTCAAAGATTTATATACCCTGTCAAAAGGACCACGATTTAATATCACTGTTTATAGCTTTAATATATCTCAAGAATGTAAAAGGCCTAGTAGGCTATACATTGCAATAAATAAATAAATAAATGTTAGTACAAACGGTGGAGTTAATATAAATAACAATTTTTTCAATTTCCCCATTTTTTAAAATTACGATAATTCCTGAATATCGATTACATGAAAAACATGGAATGAGAATGAAAATAAAATGACAATAATGAATATCCTCGTTAATGGTAAAATGGATAATGATGATAATCGTCATTTGCTAATTAAATCATGTATTTATTCACTTATCACATAAAAAATAATGATAAATATTTCCCTGCCGTGGAAACTCGAAACATCACGAGTCATCTATTTAGTTTCACAAATTTATTCTCTAAAATTGAACTTTCTTCTTCGCATCTTCGTGCGGATCATTTTCTACAGCTGCGAATAATCTCGTTACAGGAATGTCAATTTAAGTTTTTCCTTTCCCGAGGAGTGACAATACACCGGACATTTTTCCAAGACTGTTTTCCGTGGAGAACTGGGGAATAATCGCGGAGACGATGGCAGTGATAATCCCGGGGCTTAATTGAATAGCACGGGGAGAATCTCGAGATGAAGATAGAGAGAAATATGAGGGACCCGGGTGGATAAGGGGGTTGTGAAAACAATGATTCAAATCTATCCTGAGACATTGGCAAGTCCGAGAAAGGGATGAGCATTGTGCGGTAAGAGAGAAGGAAGCTCCTTCGTTTGGTTAATACTCCTTATGTAGAAAGTTTTGCGTCATTAGGGATAATTGATCGTTGCGCTATGAAGCATTGCCAATGGGAGATGGCGGAAGTGCGATTACATTCGTATTATTAGTTTCTCAACTGTTGAAAACTTTGGAGATCTCAATGTCATTTGATTTTATCAAATCTCTTTATCGTTCGACGCCATTTCGAGATTGTCCATTCACCTCATATGTTTAAACATCAATTTTTCAATCAATTATTTTTTTTCGTAACTCCATGTGATTGCAATTGAAAGTGTCACAGTTCATTCAGTAATATTTTTACATTAAAAAAAAATATTCTCAATATTATAAACCATTGCATTCCATTCTTTTAGAATATTTAAAAAATTGTAATAATTGAAAATTCATGATGCGTGATTTGATTGTACAAATCCATTCCAATTTTCCGATAATGGTAAATATTTCGAGCACAGAAAATAATTATAAATATGAAATATCAAAGGCAACTGCAGCGAAATAAAATAAATTACACCGTATAAACTATCGAACTAGAATTTCGGGTGAAGCCCTAAAGCTTCGCCATCGAAATTAAACTGAAAATTCCATTAATAATAATAAAATTTAAATCCAACGGTCATCGGACACTCGCTGAAATAATTAGAGTGCATGCTCCCATGTCACTTAACAGCATGAGCTGCTAACATCCTAAATGGGGGGCAGAAAATCGTTCGTGTCCTCTTCCACAGGGGGAGAAAAAGCCAAAGTGACGAAGGACACGAGCACCGAGGAAAACCCAAAGGACGATGATAAAAAAAAGCACAACTAAACAGTTTAAAAAAAAAGAGGACGAAAGAAAAAAAAAATGATCTGGCGGTAAATCCCGAGGAGCACGAGCTCTGGCAGTGGCGATTTGCACCCGCCACTAATTGCACGTCAGTTCCAATGTTTCACGTTTTCCACCAGTCGCCCGTATCTGAAATTCCACAATTTTCTCCTGCCCATGAAGCATGAAAAAATAAAAATAAAAAACCCACCGCTTTTTCCGAATTCTATTTTTTTTTCCAGTTGATTCTACATCTTCATAATTATCAAAGGTAGGTAAATCACATAGTGCCTGTGCTCACTGGTGTATGCGAATGCCTCTGATCAATAATTAACCCCTCGGTCGTATAAATAATTCAATTTTTTGTTTTGTCGGTGGAGGAACTCTGGAAATGAGAGGAAATCCCCGGGCGATCGTTACGACCAAGTTGCTTCTACAGCACGATTTTCCTCCCTTGTTTTATTTTTCTCCCTGAGTGCATTTTTTTTTACCCGAAGGCACGAAATTCCCCCGAACTCCGAGGAAGGTGAATAAATAATTCTGGTAGTTCCACCCTTTCGTAGTACTCACTTTGTACGTTTTTTTTTAACTATAGCTGGACTCCGTGACCTTTTCGAATTCTCTCACCCAGATCTTGGTGTGGGACACGAGGGCACTTATCACCCATTGATTTACATCGCGAGTTGTTGCTGCGAGGCGTCTTAACCACGCCCCTCCGCTTTTCTCTGGCTTTTCCTCACATTTCCTCACCTTTACCACTGAAACCCGACCACCACCCTCTCCTCTCGCTGCATTATTTTTCCCTCACCCTTTTATTCGCAACCGGGGGTACAAGTCAGCCGATAAAATTACTGTACTTCACTTTTTTATCAGGATTTTTCTACACTTGGAGGAGAGGGCAATGGTACCACTTTGAACTAAATAATTATTACATTAGACTGGCGCCTCGTCGAAGACGTTTCTCCATCCACTATCTCTCGATACCTCCAGTTTATTTCATTTCACTTCGCTACGGCTGGGCTTTTACTGGCTTCTTTATTTTCTTCATTTTTCAAATTGCTATCCTTTTGCACTTCCCTCTCGCCAATCTTCACGCCAAATCCAATCAATTCACCCATCATCCGGACAAAAAAAATCAATAATGCAGAGAGGTATTCCATTTTTCCCCCGGAATTGGCTTTCGTCATTTCGGGGACAATCGACCGATTGTGGCAATCAATTGCGCGGTTTTGTCATCGGGTGCAAATTCCATCGTGAAATAGTTTTACGTAATTTTACACATAATGCCATATACAATTGGGCCCTTCGGGGCCTTAAGGCTCTTCTGACAACTCATTGCTTCTTAATCCCCTATTTTCATCGATCATTCGTTAATGCCTGGTATTTATTTGGTTGGTGATTATGAAATCCCCGAATAATTTATTGTCACCCATGATACAAGTGGATTTGCAACAAATGCTCGTTGAGGAATTAAATGATAAAAACATTAGATGAATTATCCGTCACTGATTGGCTCTTGTTTCGTTATCACTCGTTCTATATCCTTCTATGGCTGCCGTGAAATATAGGGGAATCGTTTCTCGTTTTTCTGTTTTGTATACAAAAAGATGGAGACAGTCCTTCTGCCATTATAAATTGAATTGGCCCGAGGGAAGTTACTCTGTTCTCAATCAGAATTCAGTTGAAAATAACAAAAAATGACAACGCTGTATATTTCCCGGGGATGTGCCACATCATAATAAACAAATCCACTGCGCCGAAGTGATTTCTCCTGTCATATCCAAACAATTCATTCCACTTTCGTTCTAAAAACCAGAATGATTTCAATTTTCCGGGATAAAGGTTTAATTATAGTTTTCCATTCCATTTTGATCCTCCATCCAAACGGCAGTTTAAAAAAAAACCTCTCTACTGTTCACTCAAGTATTGATGTCTCGCAGGAAAATATGAATACAAAATAAAAAAATTATTTATTGCGCAATTTATTATTCTTGGTTGACATAGATTATATTTTTATCTTTATTGATGAACATTCAATTATTTCAATCGGATTTGAATGAATTTTTCAGTGAAGTCGGATAAAACAGGTAGGGAAAACTTTCATCTGTACGCTAGAGTCTTGATGTCCCGCAGGAAATCCCCGTGTGTGAAAATGAATTATTAAACATGAAATAAAACATTGAAATCTTGGACTATTACCCGGGAAAGCTACTGTTCTAACAAATGGTCTAGTCATTTTCAGGTTACAGTGGTGAGAGTGATGAAGCACCAGAGGATATTCTCCTCCACGGACTCCACCCACTATCCACCCAGACTCCCTGCAGTTATTTCGCTAATAGATTTCTCGTGAGAATGGAAAAGATCGTACTCGATACTCGATTTAATGGGCCGGAAATGCGCCCAAAGAGCAACGACGGTGTAGATCAACCCAAGGGAGGAGTTGAAGACCCACCACAGCTACAGTTCGGTTTCATTTTAATGTACGCTTGACTGTTCCAAATTTATTGCCTCTCACTCACAGTCAAATGACCATTTTCACTCTCCCCGATTTCCATTCGATTTTATGGCGAATTATCTATTGATTTTCCTATTTTTGCTTAAATTTTCGAGTCGGGCGTGGAATTTGGAATTGGCGACGGGAATCAAATCGTTCGATTTAAAACCCAATCGACATTGACGAATCAAAATCGTCATTCGACTAATTTTAGTTAATCATTAAAAAGTAAAATACGTGTGAGTATTATAAACTGAATTTTGGATTTAAAATCAATAAAACATTAATTCAATTAGCACAATTTGTTTCAATAGCAGTTTCAACAAATTATTGAAAATCCAGTTGGAAAAATCAGATCTAATCAAAAAGAAGTCCAATTTTCTCTAGAATAACTATATCTCCACGGAAAATCTTTCTCGCTACTTTCCAATTTACAATTTCCTTGGATTTCCATTAACCCCAAAAGTTTCACTTTTGTTCTACATTTTGCCCCTTGTGAGTGTGAAAAGTTGGACTATCTCCCAAATTCGTGCCCCTGCAAACCGTTTTTACCCCATTCATCTCTAATTGCCACCTCCAACAAATCCCGGGAGATATTTCCATTAAACTAGACGACTCGCAAAATTCAAATTCACGAGTACAAAGTTTATCGTTAGGTATAGAGGGTCGAGATGAGAAAGTTTACTCTAAGTCGTCTTACACTTGTTATGGGGGGGTTGCACCAGCCCAGTCATGGTAGTTTCAGTGAGGAGAGCTAGCGTCAGAACTTTCCTCCAGGGTTACGTGTTAGATTGTCTGCCTCCCGACAATCCAATATGTAAAGCTAGACTTTTGTGTAAACCTCCTGAGTTCGGACAGTATTGACAGACACCAGAGATATTGAAAAGTAGACAGAAAAAAATCCCATCGAATTATTCATGCACCTGCCTTCCAACGCAGACAAGACTGCACAGAAAAGAAAATCCTCAAAGTTATTCATTTATCTAATCCCTCAAATTCCTCCTATCAAATCCTCAATTATTTATTTATTCTCACATCGTGTTGGTTTTCAAAAAGGCCCTTGTAATTTAATATTGATAATTTAGAACTGATAATTTAGAATTGATCGTGTCCCGATTATCATTTTCGGTTGTTCATCGACCCCTGGAATCCGAGGCCCTCATCCTCGGATGAGGTCCAAGGGATGCTGAACAATCAGAAGATAGTGAATACTGCATTCAAACTGGCGAGAACAGGCTCATGAGAGAGAGGCAGTCACTTGCAATAACTGCAGAATCAAAATTCTCCACTCGAAGGTGAACGTTTTACTCGGCTATTAGACAGGTCATTTACATATTCTATCAGAGCCCCGAGAGTACTCGTAGTTCTATTATTGGTGTACCTCCAGCCCTCTGACCTGAGTAGCTTCTTCATGCTCTTTCTGAAGTACCTACTAATATTACATCCAAAGGTATTCATGAAACTTGTACCATGGTATTCCCCTCAGAGCTAGAATTCATTAAAAATGTTTAGACCTTTTCACCAAACTATTTTTTTTTATGCAGGAAGAATTCGACTATTTTTTCCTTTTCCGCCAGAATCTTTGAAATTCAATTATGGATTTATGCATTTATTTTGTTTTACCGGTACTAACATTAAAAATATATATAAAAACATAAAAGCCGTAATTCTCCAGATTTGAAAAAAAATGTCCTTTCTTCAAACATAAATAGATAAATTGAGTATTTAGCAGTTAATAGACTGTTAACTATGGCTTGCGATTCTTTCAAAATTAAAAAATGTAAATAATGAAAAAAAATCGTTAATAATATTGTAGATCGCCGAATGGGATTAAAATTCGAATTGGCTGTGCTTCAACGATGTTTTTCATATTAAATGTATTTTGTAATTAAAAAATTAAAAATTTGAATCCATATTATCCTTTCCGTGTTAATTTTCCCGTGGGAAAAGAAAGAACTTTATCTACCAGTAGAATTATTAATATTTACTCTCCGAGTAATGTAAAGTTATCATGTACTATCATCTGATCATTTACCCACACTAGATCTCCAATCGAAGATTTATAATATCTCCAAAAGAGGGCAATAGCTTCCTGTAAAAACAATTTATGTACACCACAGGCAACTTTCAGTGTTCGTCCTCTCGTTACAATAAAAGCCAGTAATAAAAATAGTATCAAATAGGCCTCATAAAATCGATATAAGTAGTAATCAATTCTGAGAGAGTAATTTAAATCCAAAAATGCCGTGTGAAATGATAACCCTGCAGCTGGGCCAATGTGGCAATCAGAGTGAGTACAGCTTTATGTCACGTCAATTTGAATTTCAACGTTTCTCAACCCGGTCTTCTCAAATATCATTATCAATAAAATTCAATTCATTATTGTAGTTGGCTTTGAATTTTGGAAACGACTCTGTGCCGAACATGGAATCAATCCTGAGGGAATTCTCGAGGATTTTGCAACAGAGGGAACAGACAGGAAAGATGTTTTTTTCTATCAGTCTGACGACGAGCATTACATCCCTCGGGCTGTATTACTAGATCTTGAACCTCGTGTTATTCATACCATCATGAATTCCCCTTATTCCAAGGTAGACTAAACATAATCACAATAAAATCGCCAGAATTAATTACAACAACGGAATTCAAGGGCAGTTTTGTTAGATATGCATTTATCTCGAAAACTATTGATTTTAGAAGGAAATATCGATAGATCTCTTTCATCAGAGATTCAATCAGCTACAAAAAAGTTCTTCACTGTTTTCGCATATAATCGATAGTCTCCGAGATAATTCGATAATGGGTCGTTGGGAAAACTGTAAATTCAAATTATTTCACATGGGCAATTTTTTGTTAAATTTTTGTTGTTAGTTGTACAATCCGGAGAATATTTACCTGTCGAAGCATGGAGGTGGTGCTGGAAACAATTGGGCTTCTGGGTATCACCAGGGAGAGAAACTCCAGGAGGAGATATTCGATATTCTTGATCGTGAGGCAGATGGTAGTGACAGCCTTGAAGGATTCGTTCTATGTCATTCAATAGCCGGAGGAACAGGATCAGGAATGGGATCATTTATGCTGGAATCACTGGCTGACAGGTTTCCCAAAAAACTCATTGAAACTTACAGTGTGTTTCCAAACCAGGATGAAATAAGTGACGTTGTAGTGCAGCCCTACAACTCCCTCCTGACTCTAAAACGCCTGACCCAGTGCGCAGACTGCGTAGTGGTCCTGGATAACACAGCCCTGAACAGAATCGCGTCAGATCGCCTGCACATTCAAAATCCTAGCTTCACCCAAATAAATAAACTCGTATCGACAATAATGAGCGTCAGCACGACAACCCTAAGGTACCCCTCGTACATGAACAATGACCTGGTGGGCCTGATAGCACCTCTGATTCCCACACCTCGTCTCCACTTCCTCATGACAGGGTACACTCCCCTGACGACAGACCAAGAGGGACAATCGGTGAGGAAAACATCAGTATTGGATGTCATGAGGCGTCTCCTGCAGCCCAAGAACATGATGGTGTCAACAGCTCTCGATAGAAATGCCTCTCACTGCTACATCTCGATCCTCAATATCATCCAGGGGGAGGTAGATCCCACTCAGGTGCACAAATCCCTCCAGAGAATCAGGGAGAGGAAACTTGCCCAGTTCATACCCTGGGGGCCTGCCAGCATTCAGGTCGCTCTTTCCAGGAAGTCACCGTACATTCAGAGCGCCCACAGAGTCTCTGGTCTCATGCTGGCTAATCACACTAATATCTCCTCACTCTTTGATCGGGCCCTTCAACAGTACGACAAACTCAGGAAACGCGAGGCATTTCTCGAGCAATTTCGAAAGGAAAAAATGTTCGAGGAAAATTTAGATGAACTCGACAACTCCAGAGAAGTTGTTGAATGCCTTGTCAAGGAGTATCAAGCAGCTACTAAAGCGGATTACCTAACGTGGAATCCAAATAAAATGGAATAATTACGAACTTTTGTTCTAGAGTGAGGGGATAAAACGGTTACAGTATCTCTGAAGCTGAGGGAAATAACGACTTTTTTTGTTAGGACCTATTTTTTAGACGGAAATGAAAGCTGCAAAAAGATTTCCATGAACATTTTTCTATCTCTCTTGGATTCAGAGATATTATGCGAAAACTTAAATTTAGGATGAAAGGAGGAAAACACATGTTGCCATTAGTGATGAATCTCAGACTACCTTACGGTGCCATTCTGTTCAAAATTACTGCACGCCAGCTTATTCACCCAGTATTTTTGTAAATACTCGTACCTAATACCCAAAATTCGTTCTCTACACGAATTCATGCAGTGTTGCTTGTTATTTGCTGGCGGAAATGACTGCACTGCGCTCGACATAACTCGTGATATTGAAGAAATAATTATGGAATAATAAAATTAATAAACAGTTCGTTTTTTTTTTACAAAATTAGAAGATTCGTCGTTTATTTATTATGAGGCTATGAGACGGGCAAAATCGGGGGGGAGAGTTGCTATTGTGATATATCCTGTGTGTCCAGGGGTGGAGGACGAGTGGGAAACTGTCAGAATTTTCTCCTGCTCCTCCGGTTTCTTCGAAATCTCATCTGCCGTTATTTTCTGTGGAGAATAATTCACAGAAATTTTGGATTTCTATTCTTAAAAATTGTACAGCAATGAATAGTCAGAGTCAGTAGTAATTTGAATGGGATAGAGAATTGACACAAACCTCGGTTTTAAGGCAATCTAATTCCAACTTTGGACAATGCTTGTAATGCACAGTCAATTCTCTCTGCAGACATTCCTGTGTTCTAATATCTACGAATCCAGCAGCTTCTAGTTTCAGGCAAGTCTGTTGTACCTGCTCGATACAAGGAGAGAAGGAGCACAGTTTACCCCCTGATTTTTTCAGGGCACGGACCGCATGATCCACCACCAACCAGGGATGGGGCAGATCTAGGAAGACACTATCTGCTTTGTGCCCGAGTTCCTCTCCAAATCCATCTAAACAGACATCTCGATGGGCGACAGTTACGTAGTCACTTAATCCGTGTTTTGTGAATTCCTCAGTTGCCAGTTGAACTCTTTGCTCGTGAAAGTCGAAAGTATACAAGTGCCCATGGGGTCGAATTGTTCGAATTAAGGCATGCGAGAGGGATCCACTTCCTGTACCTAAACACGAAGTAACAATAATAAGAACAAGGAATAACAATGTGAAATACTTTGAATAAATTCACAGAAATAATTATAATACTTTCGGGAAAAGATCAGAAGAGTACGGAGTGAATTAATCACTCCATCATCACTAATTAGTACGGAATAAAATTCAGGGAATCTCATGTAATTTTCAAGATTATTTCTCACTCTCCAAAATTGTCCTCAATTAATTTAATTGAGTAATCCTAAATTAATGAGCTGCGAAGTGGTAATTTTTTCTGAAAAAAAAAAGTACAAACCAGTTTCGACAGCGATGCTGCCAGGTGCCAGCTCCAACAGGTGAATAATTAAACTAATATCCGGAGTGTAAATAATTTGTGTACGATGAGGTAAAGTGCTTGTCCACAACTCTGGTGTGGGTTGAAGGACAAAAGCCCAGCCCTTTGACAATTCAACTTTGGAGCCGTACCTTTTGCCAATTAAACTCGGTACCTTCAGAGCACCGTAAGTCGTCTGGAAGACATTATCCACCATTTCTCCCTTTTTATTAATTATTTTCTGGGTAACCTCGAAGGTGTGCATATTCTGGGGACTCAGATAAAGTACCACAGCATCACCCTCTTCAATTGATTCTTTCGTTCTAGCAAAACTCATGCCTATTTCTGAATGATATTCTCTATAAACAAATTCTAGTGCTCCCTGGATTTTTGAATTGAGTAGAACAGGTTATGGAGAGGCTCTTTTGGCAATAAACGTGAGAGCCCCTTCATTATCGACATCTCCTCGACCCTTTCTCTTCTCTATCTGGAGCCAAAAGATTGACCCACGTGTTGATGCAGTTGATAAAATAACCGGTGGACAAAACATTTGACAGATTTCAGTCTTCTTTATATTTTAAAATGTCTGCTGGAACATCCAGTGAAAATACCGAAAGCAAAAGTGAATCGATGGACACATCGGAGCCACAGACAAACACAGGATCCACTCGAAGAGATGATGAATCAAAGAAATCGTCGAGGAAAAATCCTGTCTGCATTATTGTCCTGGGTATGGCTGGCTCTGGAAAAACAACTTTTGTTCAGAAAATCGTGTCAACGTTGTATGAGAAGGGAAAACCTTACGTTGTTAATTTAGATCCGGCTTGTAAGGAGGTGCCCTATCCCACAAATATAGGTAAAGCTATTAAAATATTTCAGAAATTCAGCCAAAATAAGTTGAGGTGTGAGAATTTCTCATTTAAACTAATTAAAATACATGGCTGTGTTCCAGATATTCGGGATACAGTGAATTATAAGGAAGTGATGAAACAATATCGTCTGGGTCCTAACGGTGGTATCGTCACAACCCTCAACCTGTTCTCCACGAAATTCGACAAAGTCGTTGATCTGATTGATAAAGCTGGGGATGAGCATGAGTACGTTGTGCTGGATACACCTGGACAAATCGAGGTGTTCACATGGTCTGCCAGTGGGACGATTATCACTGAAGCCCTTGCCTCCCAGTTCCCAACGATTGTTGTGTATGTATTGGATACTGTGAGGAGTGTCAGTCCAGCTACATTCATGTCGAACATGTTGTATGCCTGCTCTATTCTGTATAAAACCAAATTGCCCTTCATTGTCGTCATGAACAAGATTGACATTGTTGAACATAGTTATGCAGTCGAGTGGATGCAGGATTTCGAAGCATTTCAAGAAGCTCTCGATTCAGAGACAACGTACATAAGTAATTTAACAAGATCTATGGCACTGACTCTCGACGAATTTTATTCTCACCTAAAAAGTTGTGGGGTATCTGCAAAAACTGGAGTGGGAATACCGGAATTCTTCAAACTAGTGGAAGAAGCTGTCCACGAATATGAAACAGTTTATAGAACGGACTGGGAGAAACTGAGGGCTGAGCGAGCCTCAGAGATTGATAACCGAAAATCAAAAATAAACGAAGCGGTATCTAACGCCCAAACAGCTGGAATAACCACAGTCTCCAGTGGACAGGATATCGCTGATGTCTACCTCAAAGCCGCTGGTGATGATTCCAGTCCAGATGAGGACGAGGAGGTCCCAGAGGATTTAGATGACGAAGACAGGACAGCTGAGTCATTCAAACAATTCCTAAATCGACATAAACAAGAGCAAATTAAACGTGCGGAGAGACAAAAAACTGACGCCGACTCAGCTCAAGGCTCATAACAATGGAAATAGTTCTAAATTATGAAAAGACGAGGGAAATTAATTTTTTATTGATTAAAATATATTTTTTTCTTTTACGCAATGGGTACTCAATTCTCCATCAACAATAAGTTCCTTTCCTTTTTCTACGAGTCGAGTGAGTCTTAGTGAAAAAATCATCGTTTATGAAAAAACATTAAAAATAATTTTTTATTTCTTAATATACACATTTCGCCTTCCGTAGAAGATTTAACTCTGCAGTTAATCATCTTCTGCCTCAGGCTCGTCGAAATCCCTCATTTTCACGTCCTCCTCCTCCCCATACTGAATCATATTATCAATCGTTATTTTAATATCTGCAATGCTCTCCTCGTCTTTGATATTCAAGGGGTAAAACCTCACGAGACTGTAGTCCTCGATGAGTCTCCCCAGGGCCTGAGTTAAACTCCGGTACTTTTCGTTCCAGGGATCGTCCTCCAGGTCTGCCAGGAGACTGTAAGGATCTGGCTCCAGATATTTATCCAGCTGTTTCTTAGCGGATTTCGATAGCAGGTCCACTTTCGAGAGAATATTTATGTGTGGAAGTTCGAGATTTATCATGACACTCAGAGCTGCCATTGTCCCGGATAAAAACTTGGAAGCATCGACCATGAATTGACTGTCGACTAGAAATACTCCACAGAGACGGAAGTTGAGGTTCTGAAGGATTTTTATGAGATCAGTAACAACTGTCATGTGACTGTACAGCTCAATCTGACCTGGACAGTCGAAAATTATGTAGTCGTCATCGGTATCGCCCAATTGTTCCTCCAACCACGAAGTGTTTTCTATTAGATATCTAGAAATGAAAGAGAAAACTAAATCTCATTATGATTATTCAAAATTTTTGAGTAACCATTTCCATTTTTTCAATTTTTCTATCTTACCATAAACTTGAAAATGGAAAAAAAGTGGGAAAATAATTATGACGTGAATTTACGTACTCCATACAGAAAACCAGACCCCCATTGGGCCCAAATTTCAGTTCTTCATCCTCCATAGCATCATCGACATGAATTAATTCCCTGATGTCAACCAGTGGTTCATAATCGAAGAATTCAGCTGCTGGATCGAGGTTCACAATGTGAACAGTTTTGTTGTCATCTGCTGCTTGCTTTTGCATTGTGCTGCAATACGTAGACTACAACCAACAAGTTATTCCAGTAAAGAATTAATTGCTCCATATTATTTATTTTAATATACTTTTTTACTGAAAGAGAACTTAATAACTGTAATGAAGTTTTCGATCATTTTTTTGTGCAATTGCAATTTTTAATAAATCGTTAATTTAGTGATTCTATTTGAAAGAATTATAAAAAAGTTAAAAGACAATGAACATAAACGCGAAAAATTAATTCTATCGGAGGTCTCCAATTTGGAGTCTTCCAATTTGAAAAATTCTTTTAAAAAACAAAAAAAATCTGTGAAATTCACCTTGCCACTGCCTGCAGGGCCCATCACCAGCTGTCCGTACCTCATCCTTCACAGTAATTAACTAATTATAGATCACCCCAAAAGCCTCATAAAAATTAATAATCGACACTTTCAAAAAGGTTATAACAATCATTCCGCCACAATCTCTATTGATCACCAGAGGATAAAACAGTTCCTGTGGTTCTTCACGTGCAGTTGAATTCATTTGAAAAAGGGGTTGTCAACTTCTAGAACGTGGGTCTAGTGCACCGACGAAACTGTTGTCGCGATTGCTCTTGATCAGACGCTAGATCTTGCAAAAAAAAATCCAGAAGAATCATCCCAGAAGTAATTAAAAATTCTGGAGCCACGAAAATGGCAACCGTCGAATATGGACTGCCCACCAACGGTGGATTAATGTCTGTAAGTACTTCTATCCAGACCCATCAGGCAATCGAATCCAATTATTCGTCGTATCAATTAGACATTGCTCTGAGGAATGTGAAGAGAAAAATAAAAGAATTATCTGGAATTTACAGCAAATTCAGGCACTCATAGCTCCACCGGTTTCAGAAGAATCGAAAACTGGAAAGAGTAAGAAGGAAAAAGAGGAAAAACGACATCCTTACTTCAAGAGACCTGGCAGAGGACATAATAGGGATTCTTGTGATGCATGTAGAGATGGTGGTGAACTCATATGTTGTGATAAATGTCCAGCATCTTTTCATTTACAGTGCCAGTGAGTTTAAGCAGTTATCATTAATCCTATGGGAGATTTCGGTTGTGGCAAGGGAATACTCTATATTTTTTTCACACCATATTTCATTTCACTGGGAGCTAACAGTTGGGATGAACTTTCTCGAGATATTATCAGTGAATTGCGCATGATGAATGCTCCGAGGTGGGCAACCTAGTTTAAAAATACTAAAAATTTATTCTGTTGACGGGGCTTTACATTCTTTCTTTAGAAATATTTTTCACGATTTCGGGAAATTCACTCACATGCGTGACATTAAATTTCTTTTAATTTGCCGACAGATATTTTAACTTAGTATAATTTAGAGAAAAAAAGTCAAAGGTATTTTACCAAAAATGTAAAAAGAACCTCCTTAAAATTCCAGTGATCCCCCACTGGAACCGACAGACATCCCTAACGGTGAGTGGATGTGCCACTCGTGTCGTTGCGCTGCGAAAAAAGAAAAAGACAAATTAAACCATAAAAAAACAAAAAACAAAAGTGCCCTGGAAGTTCTGGCGTTGGCAGCGTCCCTGGCGAATCCCCGTGAGTTTGAGCTGCCGAAGGAGCTGCGACTTCCCATAACATTCCCAGGAACTGATAAAATCGATCCGACAAATGGCAAGAAAAAACCACAGACGTCATCCTGCAACAACGGAAAATCCCACTGCCTGGATTCAGGAACGATGGTACCACTACCAGCTCGTTTGTGCTTCGAGTGTGGCAAGAGCTGTAAAAAAGCTCCCCTCATAGCCTGCGATTACTGCCCCCTGTATTTCCACCAAGACTGCCTTGACCCACCCCTGACGGCGTTCCCCAGTGGCAGATGGATGTGTCCAAATCATCCAAATCACTTTATCGACCAGAATCTCCTGCAGTCGTGTAACGCAACGACTCGCCTCAAACTCTGGGATCAATTTGCCACCAAGAGAATTGATCAGCACGCAGTCAAATTGGATTTCATCAAAAAAGCTTACACAACAAATCCCCCCTTTCGAGTGAAGCTCGCTGTCACCGATAAAAAGCGAGTCAAAGTTCCAGACATTGTCAAGTCCCACTACGCAAATCCCCCAGAACTCAACTCCATTAACACTTACAGACAAAACTTCTTCATAAATCCAATAATAATCCCCCCAACTTCACCGAGAATAGAGAATGGTCACGATGAGATCGAAGACACCACCAAAAATGCAGACGAGAATTCCTCAGAACCACACGACCATGAAAAAGTCTCCAATCACCTGATAAAGACAAATAACCTTGAAAAAATGGAGTGTGACGACAGGGAGGAAAGTCAAGTGTCTTCAGACGAGAAAACGGCAAAAGTCAATTCTACAAATTCTCCAGGCCAGAAAAATTCCCACAATTCTCCAACTTCCTTGAACCCTAAAAAAACACCGGAAGAAAGGGTCCAGGTGCTTAGGCAGGATCACAGGAGGATAGGATATCCCTTGAAAGAAGGAGTTCAGCTGCTGGATCGTGCGGTACTGGAGGCCCTGGCCCAGCAGCGCCTAGAACAGATCCTCAATCCCCTGGATAATGACTACAAATTAATCAACAGTCAGTACCAGGCGAGAGCTGCACTCTTCCCATTAAGCAGGAAGCCAGGACCACCAGCCTTCATGATTCGCAGGACACTGACAATCGGCACTGGGGCTAATTGTGATGTCCTACTGTCCAGGTATGGAGAGTGCGAGTGTATATCGTCGAAGCACGCAGTTATATTCTTCGATGAGACCACAAAACGGTACGAATTGCTGAATTACAGTGAACATGGTACCACTGTGGATAATGTGTTCTACTCGTGTGACTGCACATCCTTGACCATTCAGGAGAGGGAGGATCTCATTCCCGATCACTGGAAGGATTTCAGAAGAGGAGAGAATGGGATGGGTGAGTGTGGGGGAGTCAGGGGTCCTGAGAATGGACACAGGGGATCCTGCAAATGCTGTGTCATGGACCAGGATGAGGGTAATAGGGTTTACACTCAGGCTGGATGGGAAGGAAGTGCTATTGTCGCTCATGGATCTATTCTCACGTTTGGTTGTCTTGTTTTTGTGTTCAGCACTGTTGCGATTCAGTCGAAACATTGAGCAGTGTTTTTTTTTTATTTCTTTTGAGCCCAGAAGGGGCCGTCGGGGGGGTAGTCCTTGAGTGGGGAACAGGATGAGTCAATTTTGCATGAGGAATTCAAGAGAAACTGAAATTATTCAGGAGGAATTTCTGGGGAAAGTCTCTAGGAGAAAAGAATAATTGAGGGGACTATAGTGTGAACATTTTTGACGAGCGATCTCTTCAGAAAATGTCAGAAAAAGGGATAGTGAAATTTTGATACCAAAATGACGTTATCTTATGTTCCAAAATATTAAAAATGAAGTGGATAAATTATGTTCTATCATTCGACAACTCTCTCCATACGACATGTAAATATTATTTATAAATAATCCTCAAAGGATGGCGGTATTTATAACTACATCAATGCGTAGTAATTTATGAAGAAAAAGAAGACAGAAGAATGTAAATAGCAAAGAAGTACACCAGTGCAGCAATAAAATATCCGTTGTGATGAGATTTTAATATACACTTTTGCTAAGAAAATACTGAGTTATCTGTTCTTTTATTTTTTAATGTTGAATAGAAAGTTTATTTTTGTGTAGGCTAATACTTGGTACATACATTCTCGCGCCGTTACATCAGGTACATTACGATTAACGACGAATATGCTCTTCAATCCAATAACGAAGTGATAATCCTTAAAAATTCGACTGCCCTCTTAATCATGCATTTATCTCGTGACCAAAGGATCTAACAGAAATATTGAAAGATATTTCCACTAGATCCCCTCATTATCGAAATAATCTGTACAATAATTACGTGCAAAAATAGAATTCCCACGTTATCACTTAACCACTGGATTCATCTTTAATTCATGTGTGAATACTTTGTGGTCAGAGTTCACTTCTGATATGTCGATACCAATGAAATCTCCTAATTAAATTCCCGACGGTTTTTGCTTTTTATATTTTCGTTATCCTCGTGTTGAAGCTATTTACGTTTATCACATATTGTCACGCAGTCTTCGCTACGACTGATTTCTGTATTTCTGTAATTTTCCTTGTACAAAATTGTACAAATCAGAAGCGACGAGTAAAGAGTAACAGGTCGGTTTCTTTCCTAGTCGAGTTATTCAGGAATATCTCCGATTCTACAAGTGATAATGTAATTTTTACTAGAACCGCTGTGGTAGCTTGGAATGAGTCACAAAAAGGGTCTCTACCAAAATTTCAGCTAGTCTCTAGATTTAGAGACATTCCTGGAAAATTTATTAGCTTACTAATTAAATCGACTTGCTACCATTCACTAACTCTCCACTGAAATGAACTTTGACATTTTCTATGAACTTAGGCCGACCACAGTGGCATGAAAACTATTTGTAAAATGCTCATAATTGATGTACATATTTACAATGAAGTTTATTATTTTCTCAATCAATAGATAGTAAAAAAAAAGTCATACGAAATTCGTGTTTGTGCTGAAATTCTAAATTCGTATTAAATCATTTGATTTATGAAAAAACAATTGTTCATAACACTTTACAAATAGCAACTGAATGTTTTATTTGTTAAATTACGCCTAGGTGTATAATACGACTTTTTGTTTAGCTCGACAATTACAGATTTCGTTGAATAATTCACTTATGGGGTTGCATGTTCTTTAGCATTCATTCACTGAGAATCACGTGACCCATGTGAAACAGCTCGGCATTGAAAAAGGGCAACTTGTAGGCGCCAAGAGTTGTGCCATGTTAATTCGTATAATAGTTTCCTCATTTTTTCAATATCAAATTATTGCCCCCCCAGGGGAGGGCGATGAGGTCTTGAACGGAGGTTTCAAGTTCATTATCGTCTCACTTACTTGGCTGAGGATTTTCTTTTATATTAACATTGGATGTCCTGACATTGAATTATTCAAACACTTTTGTTTGTTCTCATCTGTTGGAATATCGGAGAGCAGAGGTTGGGGAAAATGCTAACAACACTTTTTTCTATGCTGCTTCGTACTTTTCCGCAAATTTACTGTCTCGTTTGTTTGAATTGCCTGGCGCTCTTTTCGTTCTTCCTTCGTGCGGAGGACTTGACGGGTTATTGCCATGAACATCTGAAACGGAAAATGAAAAGTGTTTCAACTTTAGAATTATTATCTGGACTTGTTGCTATTGCAATTTTTTCAATACAATGCCAAACGTTTGGAAGATAAGTACAAATGAACATGTTATGATGAGATTGGCTTTTTAAATTAAATTATGCGAGACGTAGTGATTTTTTCTTACCTCTTCGACATTGATGTTGTCCTTCGCTGACGTCTCAAACAATTGTATTCCCATTTGATTAGCAAAACGTTGTGCATCCTCAGTCAGTACAACTTTATGATTTGGTGCGTCATTTTTATTACCAACTAAAACCCTATTAACAATATCGCAATTGTGCTCGATTTCGTGAAGCCATCGTTTGACATTGGCAAATGAATCACCACTCGTTACATCGTACACAACAATAACACCATGGGTACCACGATAGTACGTTGATGTTATCGTACGAAATCGTTCCTGGCCAGCTGTGTCCCAAATTTGGAGTTTTACACGCTCACCATCAACTTCAACTGTTCGTATTTTAAAATCAACTCCTATGGTTGTTATATAGCTTCCATTGAAAGTATTGTCTGCGAATCTCAAGAGGAGAGAGCTTTTTCCAACACCTGTAACATAAATTCAACAATTTATGAGATTAGCCTCACACTTAATGACTCGAAGCCGTCCCCATTTTTACCTAATTATTTCCACAGTGAATATCTTCAAGTGGTAATTTCAAAAAACTTTCTTGTTTAATTTCCAGTTAATCCGAGTACCTTATGCACTTTAATATGAGCTCCTGATATTTTCCACTTTCAAATTGTAAATTTCATTACATCAGGAAAATTATAAAAACTCTTAGTCATGCAGTATTATTTAAATATAGTATTAAAAATGACAAATTTATATTGCCTGGAGTAGAACTTTGAGAATTCACTCAGCAACATAATTATAAATCAATGAGAATTGGAACAAAAAAATCAGAGTATTCTTAGGATCATATCTTAAAAATTCACACAAATTTCGGATTTTTCTTGCGTCCCAGTACTCCAAAATCTCAAACAGTTGAGTGCCACTGAATACCGGGATAAAGTTCGTCTCCCGCATTTCATTCGTCCCACAATTACGAAATTGTATCAACTACTTGAACCAGCGTAATCTGTCATGATTCACACCACTCAATTCCATCACAACCCTGACTGAAAAAGCTGTGAATTCATCCAGCCTTCAATCAAAAATATCTCCAAAACCTCCAAGGAAAAATCTCCGATTCCCCTGGCATTCCACCCCATGAATTTCTTCTTCAAAACTAGACTCGATCCTTAAAAATCATTCACCCTAATCCTCAGGTATTTCCAACTGAATTGAATATCCATTTACTCTCCCCTCACCCCAACTAATTCCCAGACCCCAACAAACTAAAAACAACTCAAATGAAACTAAAAAAGTAAATAATTACCACTGTCCCCGATGATGAGCAGCTTGAACAGATGATCATATTCCCTAGCCATGTTCCTGATTACTCCAGTCACCAGGAATTCCAGTGAAAAAGCTTAAACAATAAGATTAATCGAGATAATGAGCTCCTGAGGGCGTAATACGAGAAACACTGGTCCTCTTCACGTTTAGCACAGCGACTGGATAATTCTCCCTGGATTTATCAACCGCATTCACACAAATCTGATGCCTCGAAAAATCGTGTGATTCGCCATATTAACTGTACTCGACATCACAATTCATTATCGCTGTTGAGAGAACTGTGCATGACGCCCACATCGACACTTGTCAATGTTCAACTCTGTTCTGCCTGGTTCTGTCCCTCTGAGTTCCTCTTCAAGATGCACTCGCTCCTAGCTCTTCCTTTTTACCCCAATTTCATCGGTAATTATCACACTTCATCCACACCTCATTCACCCATTTATTAATTCAATCCACCAACTACTGGGACACCTATTACGAATTTATTGTGACCAATCTCTCATGGTTACTCCAATTGTAATTAGTTCTTGGTTATATGATGAGTATGCGAGTGAAGATGGAGTTTTGACAATCTTTCGGAGTAAAACGTCACTATTGGCTGGGGGTCAGGGAGTGGGGGCTGTCGGAAGAGGGCGCGATGCACCGGAAGAATTTTTTTTTTTCATTTTATTTACTTATTTATTTTGTCGTGCATTTGGAGCACATGCCGAGGACCTTTGTGGCTTTCTGTTATTATGAATGGGGTGAAATGGGTGTTTAGATATCGGGGTGATGAGTTCAAGAGGTGTTTCAGTGCTGTTCAACGACACAATCCTTCGCATTATTGCTTGGATCTGGTTAGGTAGGAGTTCGATGGATTTTCTTCGAAATTTGGTTTGTTTGGAATTCCTTCTTTATGACAGTGTGTTTTGATTCGCGAACGTTTCGACTTCTTTTTCTTTTGATAATTTTATGATGGAAGTCCATAGAAGTTTTCACTTTGAATCGAATTCTTTCGTTGTATTTATTATCTTAGTGGAAAATTTCATGATTTTCTCAATCCCCCAAAACTTCCGTCTATTTCAGGCAATATGATCTATGTCTCGTAAAATTTTAATGGGATATTTATAACCGCAGGAGAAATGATTTTGAAAATTACTTGTGCACACTTCTCCTACCAAGTGCTCTGAGGGGTCCTGCATTCGCAATAAGAGCTTTCAACGTTGAAATTGCATTGATTCAGGATCAAACATCGGAGACAGCAATTAGTGGAATGAGATATAATTTTTGGAACGACACTCTGAAGAAAATCTACAATAATAATCCTCCTCAGGCCCCTGTTCCCCTAGAATTACATCGGGTAAATAACTGTCTTTTCTGCCAATGTAATTTATTAGTGCTATTCAAATTTACGACGATAATTTAACTAGTAATTTAACTATGAGAAATAATTGATAATCATTAGCCATTAATGTACAGCCACTAATTAATTGATTAATCATTTTTTCAGTGAAGGTTTCACCTGTGGATGATTTAATTACAATTTTCAACAGGTTCTCAAGACCTTCAAATTATCGAAACACTACTTTCAACGTTTGCTGGACGCCAGATGGAGAAAATGGCAGGCAGCAGACTTTCCAGATCTAGAATCATTAGAAAAATACTCAGAAGAAACCGTATCCCCTATTTATTACCTCCTCCTTGAAGCGAGAGGTATCAAAGACGTTAACATCGATCACATAGCTAGTCATTTAGGAAAAGCACAGGGAATAACGAATCTTCTTCGATCTGCACCTCATCATGCCCAGAAGAGGGTCTGCGTTATTCCTCAGGATCTCTTGATGAAGCACGGAGTCCCCACTGAATCCGTATTCAGAGGAGAAATGAGTAAAGAACTCAGTGATGTTGTCTTCGAAGTGGCATCACGATCTCATCAACACTTAGAAAAAGTAAAAACAATTATTCATTCTCACGAATTTATGTAATTATTCTTCCTCATCTGCATAGCTCCATTTTCCAGGCAAAGAACCTCAGGAAGAATACGAAGACGAACTTGGCCAGTATTTTTCTGCCTGTTGTCAATGTCGAGAAATACCTGACGAAGCTGCAGCAACTCGATTTTAATATCTACTCGTTTCATCTCCACAGGAAAGAGAATATGCTGCCGCTGCAGATTTTGAAGGCGAAATTATTCTCTTCGTGGTGAATATTCCTTGAAATCTGTTGTAGAGTAATGAATAAATAAAATTAATGGTTTGAAAATAATTAGTGAAAATCTACCAAAAGACCCACATCATCTACTATTATCTGTAAATACACTAGGATAAACTCGAAATTACAGAAAATGTGATATAGTTTACGCAAGAGGATCAAATTATTCTTCCATTTCTTAATTTTTGAAAACCTGTAAATTGTTGATAAAATTGGTAAAATGGAGGAAATTATCGACGCGGTCGGGGCATTAAGGCATTAAAAGTGTTTATGGCGCCATCCCTTACCTAGAAAAAAAATATAAATAATTCTTAATCAAGAATATAAACAGCCGATGACTGAAAAAATAAAAAAATCCGCACTGTGAGCTCCATATGCCCCGAGGATGACTGCAGTTGCTCCACTGAATCCTGCCAATTTCAAATAAGGCCCTGAGGCTGCTGCCGATTTCCATAAAGGCTCAGGTTGAACCAGTTTGTACTCAACACGGGGCTTGAGGCCTGAATAATTGATAACCTAAAAAATTCATGGATATTCATTCCTCATGTAATTAACAAATGTCAAAAAAAAACAATTTTGATCGTTGTATGGTATCTACATGACCTCAAAGTTTCAAAAATAGAATAAATTATAGAAGCATTACCCAGTCACCAAAAATCAGGCAATAACAATAAATAAATTGATTCCTCTTATTTTTTATTAAAAAATAACAGCGACTTACAGCTGATGCAGCAGTTTCCGCAAACGAACCGGCACTCGAACTGACGAGATCAGAAAACAGAACGTAATTCAATGTATCTGATACTCCCATTCCCGTTTCAGAGATCCAATCGAAGTGTTTTTGATGGTCAAGACCAAAATCCACACGCTAAATTTTCTTCAATCAATTATTTTTCACTGACTATTGAATTTTACGTGATTGTACTGTTTTTTTTAAGAGAGAATTATTTATTAGGTTAAGAATTTTCGTAATTATCGTATCTCGTCAAATTGAGACTGCCCGCGGTGTTCCGTACGCATGGACGGTGTGCGTGCGTATGCACGGAGTATCGCCTGGCGAGCCCCACTCGAGCGGATTTCCCCCACTCGGTCTTCTGTGCGCATGTAGGGTGTTCTGTGCGCATGGGGAGTGTTCTGTGCGCATGGGGAGTGTTCTGTGCGCGTGCGCGGAGTCTCGCCGGGGGGACCCCCCACTCGAGCGCCGTCTCCAAAGCCCTGCCATTTTCAGTGGGGAGTCAGTCGTTCCGCGACCGCGCGTCGAACAACTAGTCGCGCGTCGCGTACTTAAATTCCGTTAATATCGGGGTCCTAGTG